AACCGGAAGACTCCTTTCCTGAACACTTTAACCCTTGATATCGTTGTTCTTATTACGTATGTATATAACTTCATTTTGCTATTTATTTAATGTACAAAATGTAAATAATATGAAATACAAAATTATGGTCTCTTCGTGGTCCGCCATCCGAGGGTTAATTTCTACAATATAAAAATTCTAAGCATTGAAAGAAAATTCGATAAATTATAAATAGATATCAATAATTTAAGTACAGTACAGTGGACTTTTGTTACATCGCCATATGAGCGATTTGACTTTTGTACTTTTCAAGTATGCTGATGTTACCCTTCCACTATCATAGCCTGCAAAACTATTCAATTTTATCTCTCTTTTCTCCTTCAATTGAAAGTTTGGAAACTTAAAAAATTATCCGTCCCACAGCGGTTTGAATAGTATAAATTATTTTTTTTGCGGTTACAGGCTTATACATATGAGGATTTAATTCTTAGGAAATAAATTTGATTGAAAATGAAAGAAAATAAAAAAGGAGATAAAGAATAATTAATAAATAGGTACTTTAACAAATATAAACGAAGAAAATATGTTTTCATATCTCAAATATACACGATCACTGTATATAATTGTTTAATATACGTTTGTCTTATTCACTGTTTGAACCCGATGATCATGCAGTAGATTCTGATAACTTCTCATCTTCATCAGCACTATCAATAACTGTTCCTTCGACACCTTCCACATCTTTTTTTAATAAATCAACTTGGACTTAAGGAATTCAGTTTTTCTTTGGTATTTCGCGAAAACTATTATCTAACGGGTCCGAACTAACTAGCAACAGTGTCAATAGATCAAAATTAGTATCTGGCGGGCATGAACGTTAAGATTAATTAATTGGTACAGTTTTACAAAGTTTTGCAAATCAAATAAGCGATTAAAATAAAGTAAAAGGTCTCTACTTTTCACTCATTGAACTCCTGTTACGTGGGACGATGTGGAGCATATAGTAAATCACTGACAAATCATTATATTATGCAAATTTTTAATATGAATTAATTGACTCGAAACACAAAAAGTTTCTGATAATTTATAGTAATTCAAACTAAAATAGATGCTTTGAGATACTGTGTCCATCATAGATTTGAAATTATATTAATTTGTTGATTTATTGTCCACTATAAATCGTGATGTATAGTATTTAAGGGTTTTAATGTATGGTTATTATAAATGATATTACAGCAATTAGTTTTTGTATATTTGAAAATTAATTTCGTCCAGCTAGAACATACTATTTATTCTATTCGAATTCGCGGCAATATAATGAGAGTCTACTGTACATATTCAAGAACATGCTTTTTCAACTATTTTGGTCAGTATGTCTTTGAAAAACTTTCCATAGTAATGGAAATTACTTATACTTTTAATATTTTTGATCAAAACATGTGTAGTTTGTAATATGATAAATATATTCGCGTAGGTGATGTTAGACCGACGAAGAACAAAGAGGGAACTAAATAGGATCGTCGGAATTACCCTGTTCGTCTCAAGCATAGTGGAGGCAAGAAATGCGTTCATCCCGCAGGATTCCCATGCAATCATGCGAAACGACCATTTACGCCGCGTTTATGAAAAATAATATCTCCGTTCCGGTAGGATCCACGTCATTTTAGCACCGCGACGCGATCGAGGAGAGTGGCAAAGCCGAAACGAGTCATTCATTGTTCTCTTCTTTGAACTCGTACCGTTCGCGTAGCTGACTCACGCGGATCCTTCTGCCTTGCCGTCGAATGCATAATTTAGAAGCTTTTGAAACAGGAAATGACGCGTACCAGACAATGTCTTTCGACGTAAGATAAAATTTTCTTTTTTTTTTGTAATATATTTTTGGCACACTAGTTTCTAGTTCAATCATAGAATTCATTCCTAATTGTTCTAAATAATATATTTTATTATTCATCTTGAAAATAAATAATTTTTTGGGAATATTAAACTTCACTAAAAAAAAGAAATTAGGGATAAGTTTCCAAATGGCCCCACTAAAATTGAGAACTCAGGTTCGGTATATAACTTAAATTGACTACCAGAAACCGATTAAAATTGGTTTCAGAGCTGGATGTCTTACCGTTTTTGAGATGTCGTGGTAAGAAATTTTTGTACAATTTTGGGACTACGTATGCCCTATTCGATACTGAGCATGCGCTATTCAATACTGCGCATGCGCTATTCGGTACTGCACATGCGCTATTCGGTACTGCGCATGCGCTATTCAATACTGCGCATGCGTTATTCGATACTGCGCCTGCGCTATTCGGTACTGCGCATGCGCTATTCAATACTGCGCATGCGCTATTCGATACTGCGCATACACAGAACCTAACCTTACCATGATATCTCGAAAACAGTAAGACATCCAGCTTTGAAACCAATTTTAATCGGTTTCTGGTAGTCAATTTAGGTTATATACCGAACCTGAGTTCTCAATTTTGGTGGGGATATTCGGAACACAGCCAAGAAATTTGTAGATATGATGTACATGCAGAAGTGTGCGGGTACCCGGGAAGTCGGGTCAAGTCCGGACGGAGTCCGGGGGATCCCGAATCTTATACCGAATTTGCCCGGTATGTATCGAATGAGTTCGAAGAACATTCGTATACATAGTTCGAAAATCCACCCGAGCTCGACCGAATTTTTCCAAGTCCGTCCGAATTCTTCGAAGCTCACCCAAGCCCATAATTTCAAGTGCCCGTACACCTCTAATGCTATAGTACTATTAGGAATTCTTTGATTTACCTAATTAGAAATATTCATATCAGATACTTGAAACTATGGATAATTAAATATTGTGAAAATAATACATAAGATTTATAAAAAACAAAAAAATACTACCTAATGAAATTTTTAACTTCTTTAACATGTTAACACTTTGTTGGTGTCACTGGGTCTGTGATGACCTTGCAACTATTTCAGTTGTTAGTTTTGTGGGTACTAAACTTTCTATTCATTCCACATTATTTTGTTTAATAACAGATTTAAGAAAAATTCATCCTCATTCCATTTTTCTTTTTTCTTTTCTTTTTTTATCAAAATACCATGCGAAATAGAACACGTTTTAAAGCACCATTTCGGATTTTACTAAAACTTGGGTGTGTTGTACTCTTTCGTGATATGTAAACGTACCCTCTAATTGCGTTAAAATCTCAATTTGAATAAGCAAAAATTCATTAAATTCTTCAAACGTACTTTTTCAAAATTTTCAAAATTGTAGATTTCACAACTGTTTGAAATATGGTGTCATTCCTTTTTTCAATAAACTGTAACTACTGAACTAACAAAATGATCGAAATAATGTTTCAGATGATTATAGTGAAAGCATAAGAGTACCTAATAAAAATTATTTAAGTAAAAAAATATTTTTTAATCATTTATAAAGTGAGTTTCAGAGTTCGGTTCTACGAGGGTTAACAGTATCGTAACGTTTAGATTGTTCAGAGGTGTTTAGCTCTCTGATGTACACCCACTGTACATTACCGGCATTAACCAGCCTAGAGTCATCTGACGAAAGCACAAGCCCGTTTACAATCAGTCTTGTTAGATTTGTGGACACGAAGATGAGCGTAGCTCGTAGGCTTAGTCTGTGCAAACGCGCAAGTCGATCTTGTAGCTGGATTGCTAGGATCACTTGGTCCTGTTAAGCCTTTAGGTACAATAGAGCTGCTATAAAAGTGCTATCACCATTGCAAATGCAATCTACCATAATTCTACCTACGTACTATTTTATGTAATTCATCGAAGAGAATTTTCTAATACTGAAAAGGTTTTAATTATCAATTGGAAAAATTGTTAGTAGCACCTACTTGACCTAAATTAATTATTAGATCAAATTCTAAATAATTACTAAAAGCTTTTGAAGATGTATTTTTTTTAAACTAAAAAACACTTATTAAACAAAATTTCTTTTAGCCCTGTAAGTAAACACACCCTCTAGGGTAAAAAGCTCGATAGATTACAACAGGTTAAATAATCTATTTACACGAACATTTTTAATTTTTTGTACCAAAACATTTCTCAATTTATCTATCAAACATTGATTTTGGTTGACGAAATATCACCGTGGGATCAGGGTTATTATTCTTGCGATTGTTTGATTTTCCGCAGAACGGGCGAGCAAATAAATGACAGTAAATTTTTGGCTAATCTTGTCACCGTGCAATGCCACATTAGCCTAGAGATCAAAGTTTGTTAAGCCTACTATATATCAGCACTCTGGTGGGAAACGTTAGAATTTGACGACGTAAAGGATTAACGTGATTTGTCGATTCGACGACATGTAACGTCGCTCGTATGCTTGTTAATTGCGTTAAAATCTCAATTTGAATAAGCAAAAATTCATTAAATTATTTTTCAAACGTATTAAAATTGTCAGAATAAAATTTATATTAGAAGCACAAATATAAATTAAATTAAACCTCGTTACAGATACTGAAGCCCACTATTAAGTTAGCAATATGGATATTTGTTAGGAGCATTGTTATTTAACCATTTTTTAATCCCAGATAGAACTTCATTTTTATGAAAATAATAAAGATACTGACAATTTTTTTCTATCACTTTGAAATATGTATAACAATTAATAGCAATAATAATTCAAACCCTGTTGATTTGATGAGTTATTAACGATATAAAGGATTTATTTTTATTCATTTAATGTTTCAAGGGAAAAAAACACATTTAAAATTGCAAATTTGCATTTTCTTTTTAAATTGAATTCCTTAAAAACTGGGGGAAGGGGGGCCTCACAAAATTCTATTTATAAAAAGAAAAGAAAAAAATACGGATTGAATGTTATAAGCCTAGATGGTTATTGTACACTATTATGAATGGAGATAGCACCCAATGAATAAGGACTATCGTGGCGAGCAGGAGAGTTAATGAATTGAGTTGTTAAAAAGCGTGTACAGATCGGGGTGTTGTTCTATCTGGGAGTATAAAAAAGCAAGGGTAATGAAGATGGCTGGTAGGCCTACCTTGGTCGAATACAAGGCAGCGGGTGGTCTTGGCAGCGAGTCCCGGGGGCAGAGCGAACCTGTAGGCTGGGCCCAGCGACAGCCCTAACCCCAGCCCGAGCGCCTCCGCGCCGCATCGGCCCCCGAACACAGGCCCCACTAGAATCACCCACATAACAACGGTCATCAGTCATCGTCATCAAAAAAATATATTACATTATAATATAACTATACATTATATATATAGATATCGTACATATACAGCATTCATGCAAACTTTTTCGTTCAATATTTTCACAGGTGATGTCTTATAACGTCAAGGAAATTTAATCAGATCGTAACTGATTGCTTTAAGTTATATCAAGTTTTATTTATAACAGACACTGTTTCTTTGTCAAACATATTGGATATAACCAGAATGATGTAATACCTTTGTATAAAAATAAATTTAATAAGTGTAAAATTAAAAATTGAAGATTTTATATATTTGAAAAATTTATAAATGGAAATATTGAAGAATAATTAATTGAATTTCATGTAAATAATTATTCTCTCTTGTGTAGTTAATTTATGTACAATAGATTTCTTTTTTATTTCTGATACGACATTCTATATTTAATTTATATAAAACTAATTTGATTAATTTGCATAAAAACTGACATTACTGTGGTCCCTTTGGAATGTTGTTTATACATACAACAGTATGAACGATGTATTGTGCACCGATGACAAGATGTCCCATGAGAAGCACGCATTTGCATTTGTCTCATGGGACATCTTGTCATCGGTGCACTATACATAATTATAGACTACAATTTTTAAAAAATATTTTCAATAAATATAATTACATTACATTGTTACTTATTTGGAATCCATCAATAACTGCTTAAATATTATACTGTTGGAATATTAATACATATGAACTACTGTATTTAGAAAGATCAAGATGAAACGAACCGCCGACAAGTTCTTTGCATCTCTGATATTTATTACGATTTAATATACAGATATTAGTACTCTCGTTTATGAGATTATTACATTGCTTTCTACTTTAGAATCAGCACGTGCCAGACGGTTGATTATGAAAGAACCCCTTAACGTGTCCTCTATGGGTCAAACAACCCCACGACAATAAATCCACATCGATGAAATTAAAAGCACGATCAGTTGTTAATAATACGTACAAATACCATTCCTTTTAGTGATATCAAACACAATAATGAGAATTCCACTTGGTTCAATATCTATTCAATAATATCACAACGTTAATTGAATCTAAAACATGTTTTTTTATAAAAATATGACTCACTGGGATTTGAACCCGAAGGCTCTCAGTCTAGAGATTGACAGTCGAATACTCTCACTATTCCGTCAATGAAGTTACCCAAATATTTTTTTATATATATGGTATGTTTATTTATCAAAACAGTAAAATTGATGAGCAGTGAAAATAAAAAGTTACGAAATACTTCAAAAAGAGAAGACAGAATATTAGAGCCATAAAGTGCCATTATACGGCAAACTTTACGCAATGCAATAAAAATTCTTCGGTGTTAGATTGAAATTAACTATGAAACAGTATTGAGGTCAATCCTAGCCCAGATCTATGAAAGGTGTACGACATTGCAAAGATTAAAAATTAGATGTTCAAATTTCCAAAAGGAAAATAATATCAAATAATATCTGAAGTAATAGAACTATTAAAATTCTCTAGTCCATCACAGAGAAATTTGCAAAAAAAGAATTTATTTTATATTTTTAGTATCATAAAATTCATTTTTGAAGTGGAGTAGATTATTTTATCATAGCCTAATCTTTTCGAATGAAACAAAGCAAAATGTAACTCGATTGGACAAATGGTGACTCCCCAAATTCCACATTGTAGACTCGTGATCAAATCAGGCTTACATAAGGAAAACAGCGATATAGGGGAAGCAGGGACTTTTAAAATTGTAATTTCGACGATATTAGTATTAAAAGTAATTTAGAAAAGAATAGTATATGTATTTTTATTATTAAATAGTATAAAATTTAGTATGTAATTAAACGTTTCGTCTCGGGAACCACCCACTAGAACTCGTCAGTGGGGCTGACGTGGACGGTCTCTGCCCCAGACGCCTGGGTTCTATATTCTCAGCAACAAGATGGACCACTTGCGAGAAAGGATGGAGTGTTACTCGCGTGACATCTTGCGGACGTCACAGGAAAGAGGCCCAGGGTGCCTGGGGTGCCAAGCTCCGCTTATAACCCCCACAATATGGATAATAAATAAATATCCATTCAGTTTTTCTCGCCTAAGCTTATACACAAATGGTGAGAGACCACAGACCTATGTGTAAGTACTGGGTGGCCGAAAAGAAGCTTTAGTTTTGAAAAATTCATTATAAAAAAACTACAAGAGATATTCAATTCAAATATATTGCATATTATTCAAAAACGTTTGAAACCTTGTTTCAAACAATTCGATCTGAAAATAACATTATCTCCACTGACCATTAAGAAGTGAGTAAAACACGTGTGAATACAAATCGAGTTTTTCTAAATTTTTCAGCTGAATGACTTCAGTGATTCTTTCTTTCAGTAGAGAAAGAAATAATTGACTACTAAGTGATGAAAAACTCATGTTCTTCGAGGCTGTATGTGATCTTTGTAGTCGCCATTTTAAAACTGAAAAACACGTATAAACAAAATTTCCAACTTTGGTCTATTTGTTTATCAAATAACGATTTAAATATTTATAAAAATAAAGAGAAGGCGCTGAAATCAAAACTGAAGCTCCTTTTGGGCCGCCCTGTATATATATATCGCAGTTCACCAGAGTCCATAACTGCGACGCGCAGGTTGGAAGATGGTGGGGGAACGCAGCGAGCTCTCCGCCAATCGTTTTCCACTTCGTTTGGGAGTATCGCCAATCAGGGCGAAGATGCGCACTGGAGATGCGCGAAGAACGAAAACTGGTCTTTTCGCAATTATGGACTCTGGTGAACTGCGGTTTACATTATATGGGTCCTCATCTTTAAATTGTCATTTTTCCAAGAAATGCCTATGAGGAAGGGCAAAAACCCGGGATGTCTCTATTTTTCCTGGGAAAGTTTGTTTTGATCGTGAGATTATTAAAAAATATAATCCTGACTATCGATGTTAAAAAGTGATCGATTTAGCATGGAATTACTCAGTATAAAGTTTAGAGAATGAAAATGAAGAAGAGGCTAAAATTCAATTTACTTTAGTATTCCTTCATCTTTTATTTATTTTATACTGAAGGGTCATTTCCCAAAAATAAATTAATACTCAGTTTGCAGTTCCATTTACTCGGGCAGAAAAAGGTAATATAAGGATTGTAAAACAAAGTTCATTCATATGAAAATGATACTTTCTGTATTGAGACTGCGGTAAATAAGAATTTTTCTTGAGAACATTTTCTCAGTCAGAGTAGCCGTGAAACGTTCTTAGGTCCTTAAGAGCCAAAGGTGGAGGTAAAGAAAGGAGCCGTCTTTTGAGGTTCTTTTCGCTGCCTAATTGTATCGAGTGTCTTAATCAGCATGTAAGCTACCTAAAGTCAAAGGTTCTTGAAGAGGGCAAGAACGATGAGAAAGGAGCTCTTGGCCGCTCTGCATCTCAAAGGATGAATTTTAAAAGTGTGTTAAGCCGCTGGCATTATGCCCTCTGTATTTATCCTTCTCCAACATGAATTTAGATTGTGGCTTAGGCATGTACAGTACTTATGCCTACGGCATCAAACGCGAAGGATACATTTCTGCACATCTCCTTCTACTTATTTCTTTAAAATTAGACACTCATGGAACACTTTCATGTACTGAAAATATAATATCTAAAGAAATATACAATAAAATTTAAAAAATGAAAATGGAAACGAATTTAACATCTCTACCATGACATCCACAATATTAAAAATTCCTTTAGTTATTTATTGTTAGTATATAATTTCTGGTATTAAGTAATTTGAAATTATGAAACATTGTAAAAATAATAAATAAAATTTGTTAAAAATAAAAGTACTGTATAACGAAAGTACCAATAGCTATTGCATGGCATTCAATATACTAAAATTAAATTTAGGTAAGCTATAAAGCATTCGTTGGGGTAAACTGTATTTTCAATTAATTAAAAAAAAAAAGAAATTTGTGTAACTGAGGAAATTACTAAATGCAACGTCATGTGAGGTCAATCTTAAACCAAACCTAACAGACATCTAAGAATTAGATGTTAAATTAAAAATAAATATTCACCCTCAGACGACGGACCATGGAGAAAGCCCCAATAATAACCTTGACCACACTTCGCGGTTCGAGATTTAAAAAACGAAAATGGAAACGAATTTAAAATTAAATTTAGATAAGCTAAAATTATTATAAAATTAAAAAATAATGAATTACTCATCGGAACAAACTTAAAATCTAAAAGTAGATTGTTTAAATGTGTGTTAAGGAAGAAGATCACCCCCGAGAATTTAACATGATCCTGTGATGTACAGTGGAGAGGAACAGTTCAAACAGGAAAGGAACAACGTCAGTGCTTGCACCGAGGCTAAAGTAGTGGAGTCTCGCTTTCTCAATGAATTATTCAAGCTTCTTGATCCGGTCTCTCAACCGTATAAACCGACAGACGGATTCCCGTCTCCTCCCAATCAACCAGCTACCGATTTTTTTCCCTTCTGGTTCCCCCTGCTTCTGGTAACATCTTTCCCTTCGTTCTTCTCGCGAGTATGTTGACCAGATTAAGATCGCAGGATCGACTGTCAGCTGCCGTGATCGCGATACCCAACAATCGCACGCTTCTGGAATCGTTTCTTCTGCCATGTTAGGAAATCACTACTTTCTCGTTGTTCTCCTCTCTTCCACTCCCACCTGCCTTTTTGTTTTGCTTTTTCAGACTTTCACGAAACACAAAGAAATATAGTGAAAGGATTAATAAAAGAAGAAAATAGACAAAATTTGAAAGTTGCGAAAACTTAGATTTTAAAATTATCTAATTGTATTGCCGTCTGAGCGATTTGGCTTTCACGCGAATTTTCAAGCATAGTAGTGTCGTTCTTCCAATACAAAGAAATATAGCAAATGCTTAAATTTGAAAATTACTAAATTGTATTCGTATAGTAGACTCTCGTTATATTGCCACTCGAACGATTTGCCTTTTAC